TGGAAGATGAGGATGTGGACATTGGCTGTACCACACCTGTGCTGAATGATGACTTTTGGGAAAGTCAGCACCCAAACTCTTCAATGTTCACTCCACTTCAAGCAATTCCTCACTCCCCTACTGCTACTGAAGTACAAATGAGATCTTAAGAACCACATGCAACCTCGTCTGTCCATGAAGAAATTCCAGCCACTAGTGCTGAAGAAATTGTAAATGAAGAAATTGAAGACCCAGGCTCCAGCTGAAGAAGAGCCCGAAATTCCTCAGTCTGTGGATCCTGAGATTGTGATTCCTGGGGTGGTAATGCAATTAACTGGCACTCCTCAACCCAAGCCAAAGGATCCCTTCTCAAAGAAGGAAAAAAATTCAAGGCTGATGATTTCTTTGGCGAGCATGTGTTCTTCACTGAGTTCAACCCTTATGAAAATGCTCGTCTTAGAAGGAAGCATTTCTGGACTGCCAGCCAGGCCAACTTCTATTCTTCACTGCTCTTCAACAAAGACAAAGTCTTCGACCACGAGCATATTCCTCACGTGGACATGGAATCAATGCCTTGCTTCTCTCAAGTCCTCAGTATGCTTCATGATGCAGGCTTGCTCAACTTTTGCTCAGACATAGTTGATTGGAATGAAGAGCTTATTCTTCAATTCTACGCAACGCTGCACATCACAGGTGAAGCTGATGACATCAACTCTTGGGTGTTGGACTGGATGACCGAAAACACTCATTACAAGGCACCGGCCTCTGAATTGCTTCGTGCCCTGCCAATCAGTCCTCCACCTGACGATGCTCGTTGTCTGTACGATGAGCCTGAACTCACTGCTCATTACATGCAAGTGCTCATGAAGCCTCTAAAGCCTGGTCAAGCCCCAAGGACCAAATTCCTCGTGAAGGAATTGTTGTATGTGCCAAGAACCATCTATCGCATTTTGACGAAGACTATGAGTCCCATCAAAGGCCACGACTCATCTGATGAGGAAATTGTTGGGATGATGAAGAATATGCTATTCAACATCATGCATGGCATCCCTATTAATTATCATGATTTCTTCATGAGGACTCTGGCGAATGTTGCACTTTCACCGTTTGAGTTGAAGCCTTATGCTCCGTGGATCATGAGATTCCTCAGAACAAGGTCTTCACTCAACTACAAAGGTGACTTTCAGAATCACCTCAGCTACTTGCCCCCGATTGAAGTCCTCAGGCGGACATATTCCTCAGCTGATGAGAAGGGCAAGACACCAGCTGTTATCGATGAAGGCATTCGTCCATTGGATGGTCAGTTCCGCAAAGCTGCATCTTATTCCACCAATGATGACTCTGCCACTCATGATTCTGCTGCCAATGCTCCCAAGTCAAGTCCTCAAGCTACTGCTCCTCGTGTGATGATTGACCGTGAGCTGCTTCTAAGTCTTCACCAGAAGATGGATCAAAACCACAAATGGGTTAAGCGTCAGTTTGGCTCTATTCTTCACAACATGACTTCTACACATAATGTAGTGAAGGAAAACCATCACTACCTTCATGAAGTTTTTGATCGCACCTGGGCTATTCTGTCTCATCTCTATGGTGAAGAAGATCTGAAGCAAATGGGCTTCAAGGAAGATTTTGACTGGTCTGCTCCTCCACCGAAGAAATTTAAGAAGGTCAAGGTTCCTTTCTTGGTCGCCAGTTCATATTCTTCATCACGCGACACGGACGAGTTCGAAGACTTGGACGACACTGCGGCAGGCCCTACAACGACTCAAGACCCCAACGACGCTGGCGCTCCTCCATCATCATGATATTCTTCAGGGGTGTTAGTCCTCATTTTCAACCCTTTTGGTCATTCGATGACAAAGGGGGAGAAATTTGAGTTAGTCTTCAAGCGAGTCTATCTTATATGGGCGTTTTTTTAAGTTACAACTCTCGTTCTTTTGATGACTTTGCTGGATCGAGTTGTAATCTTAAACTCTATGGTGGCCTGATACTTTTGCTGAGTTCTGCATGCTTATTCCTCATTAATGTCAATACACGCATGCTGAACTACATCAGTCACCATATTTCATCACACATTTTAAAATTCTTCATATTACATGTCAAATGTGTGTATGAATTACAAGATATAGGGGGAGATCTCCATGATTATACTCTTCAAGTGTGCATTGCTTCAAAAGCAAATTCCTCACTATGCACATCTTCAGGGGAGTTCCTCTATATCTTGCAATCAAATTCCTCAACATCAGTATTTACACTTCATATGTTTATCCCCCTTGAAAACTTAACATATATTGTCATCAATCACCAAAAAGCGGGAGATTGTAAGTGCATCTAGTGCCCCTTAGTGATTTTGGTGTATTGAAGACTTATAGGTTAAGGGACTGATGCGTTTGTGAGTATACACAGGTCTATAAGTCTATGAGGAGTTTGATATTTACAGAGAAAGTTGACCCCTAAAACTGAAGTTCTTCAACTGAAGACTTTGGATATCTGAAGACTTTCTAAAGACTTTGAAAGTGAAGAAATTGGTGTGACCTTGAAGACTTGGCAATCATTCGAGGAACATGAAGCATGAAGACTTTTGTTTTCGTAGTTTCATTTTCTCTTTTTTGAGTCATAGGAAACACCATACTGTTAAAGGGGGTCGAGGAAATACTAAGGAAAATTTTCCAAGTGATGCTCAACTCAAAATCCTACACCTACCAATCCCTTCGAGTGAAGCCATTGGAAATCTCATACAGTTCAGTCAATTTCTTCAGTAACAGAGACGAAGTTCTTCTAGCTGCTGAGGAATTTGTTCTGACTGAGAAGTTGGGAATTCGTCAGTGCGAATTGCCTACACAGTGAGGAACATGATAGCCCTGAGGAATTTGATAGTCAAAATTCCGACTGTTGCTGTGCTATGCGCCAGCTATCCCAAAATATCTATCCACCTAATGGTCATATCATTTAAGGGCATTTATGTCTTATCATGTCGGCCTGCTCCCTAGGCTATAAATAGCCGCCCCCCTACAACGACTAGCTGGTTGGCTGCTCCGAGAGAAACTGACACTTGTCATTTGAGAGCATCCATCCTCCAAGGACTTTGAGCGAAAATCATCAAGTGAGGAAAACCCAAACCCAACACACATACAAACCCAAAGTGATTGAGCATCATTGAAGAGATTGATCATGCGTGGATCCGACGCTTGTTACCTTTAAAGACTGTGCTTTTTCCAGACGGTTAGGCGTCATGGTCTAAAGCATCCAAGAGGAATTGTGGATCGCCGGGTGACCTAGTCTGTGAAGGTTTGGAAGTCCCTGAAGACTAACAAGAGTGATTGGGCGAGGTCTGTGTGACCTTAGCTCAAGGAGAATACGGTGAGGACTGTGTGTCCTGGACTGTGTGTCCTCGAGTTTAAATACTCAGCCGCTCCAACCAGACGTACAACTGAGACAACAGTTGGAACTGGTCTACCAAATCATTGTCTTCACCAAGCTTACTGGTTCTATTTCCTCAACTCTTTCATTTCCTCAGTTATGTTGTTGTGTGTTTGTTCATTTCTGTTTGAAGACTTTGACTGAAGACTTTCTCAATTTCCTCAGTTCAATTTCTTTAGTCAGTTCGTCTTCATCTTGTGTTATCCTGTGCTTACACTTTCAGTACTCTGTGCTTGTCTTCATTCCATCATGATGACCATGCTTGTGTTCTGCTATGTTTACTTTTGAGTACTTATTCCGCTGCAAATAGTTCTTCATTTAGGAATTTCCTCACCAGCAAATCCCTCAGTGAAGAATTCATAAAAGTCGCCTATTCACCCCCTCCCCCCCCCTCTAGTCGATATAACGCACTTTCAAAACGGTCATTTTAAACGTTCTCGTTAGCTATGCCCATGACTGATAAAATCATAGATGCCAGAAATTCAATGCAGCACATATCTTTACTTAATTAAAAAAGAGTAAAGCTCCTTTTTCTGACAGCAGAATGCTCCATCAACCGATTCTGCCTGCTCCCACCACGTCCCTTCACCCTTTTTTGGCACATTTGTGTACGCTAATCAACCATCTTAATTTACTTAACTTATGTATCAATTTCATCTTGATTTATTTACCAAACATTTTTTTAAGAAAAAAGAGATTAAAACCCTTGACCTCTAAAAACAAACAAACATTTATGTACACAATCACATGCAGGATTTGATAAACATTTGTTTATACAACCAGAAGCAGGATTTGATAAATATTTATTTACACAATCATAATAATATGATCCGGTAAATCTCAAATCACGTAGCAGAATATTTATATCCCGTTGCAACACACAGACATTACGGTAAGCATGCTCAATTTGCATCGCTCGACCCTCTGTGAGCTGCATGCCGGCGACCAAAGACGCCCATGTTACCCAATCGTCTTTTGCTCACTGCACGCAATCTGCAACCGCCGTCACTGTGCCGATTCGGCCTAGGCCCAGGAGCTAATTGTACTCGCTCCACTGCATCCCTGCCGCACAGTTTCGCTTTCCTTACCAAGCAAGGACCGGAGCGTGAGCCAAACATTTACTCCAGTGGTTTAATTCCTTACCAAAACCGCAAGCGGCGGCAGCCGCAGCAGCAGCAGCAGAGGACCGCAGATACGCTCGTCACACTCTACGAATACCGTGTGACGCCTTTAATGGCAGACCGGAGGCCAGCCCAAGTACAGTTGCCAAATACCAAACGGAGACCGGGCGCAAGCTGGGGATTTCGGAGCGCGATCCTCCGCGTGCTAAATTTAACCCCGAGCCGGAGCCCGAGCCGCCGCTCTCCCATGCCAAATCGAACGCACCTACGCGTCTCCCTTTCCACGGCCCCTCCACCTAATCAATCGCCCGGCTCGGCTCCCTCGGCTACCCTACGCGGTACGCCCCCAATCCGAGGCCAGAACTTTTAAGGCAGCACGGGGAGGCGCAGTGCAGAAAGCGAAACGCCCAGCCAGTCCAGTCCAGTCCAGCGGGGGCACGCAGGGGAGAGGAGAGCAGAGCGAGCAGGGGGGAGGCGGTGATGGCGGTGGGCGCGAAGCTGCACCTCTCGCCGGCCGCCCGGCGCCCGACGCTGCCCCAGCTCCTGGCCGTCGCGCTGCTCTGCTCCGCGTCCTACCTCGCCGGCGTCTGGCACCACGGCGGCTTCACCGCTGCCCCCGCGGCCGGCGGCGGTGGCGCCTCCCCCTCCCCCGTCTCCATCGCCACCGCCGCCTCCGTCGCCTGCGTCTCTCCCACCACGGCCGGCGTCGCCCGCGTCGGCGGCGCCCCCCTCGACTTCGAGGCGCACCACGCCGCGGACGACACGGAGGCGGTGAACGCCGCACCGGCGCGGCGCGCGTACGAGGCGTGCCCGGCCAAGTACTCCGAGTACACCCCGTGCGAGGACGTGGAGCGGTCGCTGCGGTTCCCGCGCGACCGGCTCGTGTACCGGGAGCGCCACTGCCCGGCGGAGGGCGAGCGGCTGCGGTGCCTCGTCCCGGCGCCCAAGGGGTACCGCACCCCGTTCCCGTGGCCCACCAGCCGCGACGTCGCGTGGTTCGCCAACGTGCCGCACAAGGAGCTCACCGTGGAGAAGGCGGTGCAGAACTGGATCCACGTCGACGGCGACAAGTTCCGCTTCCCGGGCGGCGGCACCATGTTCCCCCACGGCGCCGGCGCCTACATCGACGACATCGGCAAGCTCATCCCCCTCCACGACGGATCCATCCGCACCGCGCTCGACACCGGCTGCGGGGTAATTAAACTAACTGTTCCATTCTCAGTCGCTTGTCCTTTCATCTCACGATAATCGCATGCCGAAAGGAAGCATCTTATGATAAAAATCCGGGGGTTAATTGAGGTTTAGGAACAGGGGACGGGGATCTCGGGAATGCCGGAATGGGATTTGCTTTGCGGGTGTCTGAAGTTTCCAGACTGCATGATCGTGGTCTGGGCCTTGTGCGCAAACGGGTCTGGCCCGGGAACGAGCTTTACTCCTTTAGAAAACCAGAGTAGCGCTGAACTTTTCACATTCTGTAACGTAGCCAGCTGTAAAGTATCCCACGTGCACAACAGTTAGAAATCTGCACGCCGAGCTTGTCATTTGCGTTTGTTCTTTGCCGGATCAGATTCTTGGAATGCACTATGTTATCTGCTGTGTGCAGTGATGTTGAATTGGATTGCCCAGTCACAGTTCCACCACAAATCATAGTAGCAGCCCTGCGTACTCTGAAGAAGATCAGCAATTGTTGCTATTTTGACCTGGTCATTTTGATCTGTTTGTTTGGCTGATAAGCTGATTGCACCATTCATGCATAGTAATTTGGTTTTCAGTTACTGAATGTGGTGCATTGCGCTGCTCTCTGCATGCAGGTGGCGAGCTGGGGAGCGTACCTGTTGTCACGCAACATCCTGGCCATGTCGTTCGCTCCGCGGGACTCGCACGAGGCGCAGGTACAGTTCGCGCTGGAACGCGGGGTGCCGGCGATGATCGGCGTCCTCGCCTCCAACAGGCTCACCTATCCTGCACGCGCCTTCGACATGGCGCACTGCTCCCGCTGCCTCATCCCCTGGCAGCTCTACGGTATGTACCTCTCTGATCGCCCCTCAAACCATCAGGCATCGATAAATTTTCACTGGACTTAATGTGCACATGGACACGCAGATGGGCTGTACTTGATCGAGGTGGATCGCATCCTTCGTCCTGGGGGCTACTGGATCCTGTCCGGGCCACCGATCAACTGGAAGAAGCACTCGAAGGGGTGGCAGAGGACCAGGGAGGATCTGAACGCAGAGCAGCAAGCCATCGAGTCAGTCGCCAAGAGCCTCTGCTGGAAGAAGATCAAGGAGGTTGGCGACATTGCGATCTGGCAAAAACCTACCAACCACATCCACTGCAAGGCCTCCCGCAGAGTCATCAAGTCCCCGCCGTTCTGCTCCAATAAAAACCCAGACGCTGCCTGGTAAAGTAGTTGCTCGATTACTTACAGTGCCATGTTATTATCCATTTTGAAGTCCAGCTCACGGCCATGATTCATGACTGTAGGTACGACAAGATGGAGGCTTGTATAACTCCCCTCCCGGAGGCTAGTGACATCAAGGAGGTCGCCGGCGGTGAGCTGAAGAAGTGGCCGCAGAGGCTCACTGCCCTGCCACCCAGAATTGCCAGTGGCAGTATTGAGGGGGTCACTGCCGAAATGTTTAACGAAGATACCAAGTTATGGAAGAAGAGAGTTGGGCACTACAAGTCCGTGATAAGCCAGTTTGGGCAGAAGGACCGGTACGGCAACTTGCTCGATATGAATGCGCGCTTTGGCGGCTTCGCTGCGGCATTGGCGGGTGACCCTATGTGGGTCATGAACATGGTCCCAACCGTTGGAAATTCAACGACCCTTGGGGTGATATACGAGCGTGGCCTCATTGGAAACTACCAAGACTGGTGAGTTCTTGCTCTGCAAACATGGCTCCTCTATGCCGGTGATGAGGATCATGCATTTGTTGGGGTGTGTAACCTCTCTCTGTGTTACTGCAGGTGCGAGGGCATGTCCACCTATCCCCGGACCTACGACCTCATTCATGCTGATTCAGTTTTCAGTCTGTACAAGGACAGGTAAACACAAGCTGCAGTTGGCTAATTCAAATCATATAAGCTGTTTTCACCTGGTTATACAATCTGATAAATTTGAGCTTGTGGTTTGCAAGGTGCGAGATGGACACCATCCTGCTGGAAATGGACAGAATCCTGAGGCCGGAGGGCACGGTGATCATCAGGGACGACGTGGACCTGCTAGTGAAGATAAAGAGCGTCGCGGACGGGATGAGATGGAATAGCCAGATCGTGGACCACGAAGACGGTCCGCTCGTCCGGGAGAAGCTCCTCCTTGTTGTGAAGACATACTGGACACTCGGGGACGAGAAACAATAGGAACGCCCCGAAATAAAGCATGAGAAATGAGAAAATTGACAGATACTGGGCAGATGTCACACACATCTGGCTTCCTCTCACCGTGTTCGCCCTGTGGTTTTGAAGTTTTATCTTGTTTGGGTAGTTCGTTTGGTGAAATAGTTAAACATAGTGGAGACATGCCCAAGTCTGTTAACAGAGGGCAAGCCTGCCAAGATTTTGACATGGGGAAGGACAGCCAGCCAAATGGGGTAGACAGAGATTTCATTGTGTTCCTTCCTGTACAAAGAGTTGGTTATGTGTAAGTTCCCCTCGGCTGTTCTGTCTTCCTTACTGAATCAAACCCAAGAATGATAAGAGTACTTTCTTCGGTGGTTTTGCCCTTAACTTTTTCTTTTGACGGGAGTAATTTGGTTCTAACTGGTTTGACCGTGATGGTGAAACCAGACTAACCTAACTGCTAACGGCACGTAATTCGTCGTGAAACAGCCGCGGTGCTAAATGCATGCGCGGCGTTTCCGTCCATGCGCATGGGACTGCCGCTCTGAACTTACCATTGCCTTTGACCTTCCATCTGGTTGTAAAGTTTGGTGTACCACACTAAAGCAGCCGTAGCTCAAGCTTCAGCTTTCAGCTTTTTTTTTTACAGCATAAACCTGTTTTTCAGAGGGAAAAGGGCGAGCTAACAATTACCGAAACTTGTAGATGAAATAAGGAGGTTATATATCATTTTCTGGGTCAGCGTCTCCCCGATTTTTTTGTGCAGACGTCAGGGTCGGTGCTGAAAGCAGGAGAGCAAGGCAGACCAGGGCAAAATTTGCCAAAAATCCGCCAGAAACTGTCAGCCAAGTGAGCGGATTTCGTGGCAGATATATAACAAAAATCTGTCCTTGTCACGCCATACTGTTCTGTCCCCTACAGAGATAACGTTTTGTTTTGCTGCAAGTTTTCTTCTAGCGAAATGCAGAACTTAATTAGTGGCACATTTTTCTTCTCAAAAAGGAACATAGTACATACTCCTCATCAGTGGTAAAAAGGAAAGGTTGCTCGACTCATTTTGGTTACAGTGCTACTCAGTGGTACAAAAAAAAAAGTTAAATATGAGTATTTAACTTTAGGAAATGAGAAAGGTGGATCTTGCAAAGAATAATGGCGAATTGACGAGTCCACCTCCACTAGCTAGCCTGCTAGCATACGAAGAAAGCAAAGAAACGGCCACGGAACGGACTGGTCCCTGACAGCAGGAGCAAAAGACCAAACACTGATTGGGTGGCGAATTCTCGGGCGGCATGCATTGAATTGAATTGATATAGAGACTTTTGGACGGAACCGGAGGCGGCCCCCTCATCTGCAGATTCTCAGCTTACAAGCCATGGCTAGGGTCAAGCTCACCTAATTTAACACTGCATATAGAGCCTGCACCTCTCCGAGATCTGCATGCAAATAGTCGGCTGGTCAGTGGTTGAGCAATGGGGCAGGAGCCAATCAGCCAATGGCACTCTAAGATCCACATAGGATGCCACTGGTGGAGTGGTTAAGAATCTCTGTCACTGACTTGACATGGGATGATGAGAAATAACAATGGGTGCACAATCATTAGTCCTGCTAGACCGCGACGTACACTGATGGTAGTGGAGTACTGCATTATAGAGTTCGTTCACCCGGCTGTCCAAACAGTCGTACGAAACGAAACGAGAAGGAATTGAGCTTTGCAACAACCTTGGTACTGCTCCCAGCTATACGGTGCTGCTATCTGACCAGACAGAGGCTGCTAGGACAACCGGAAAGCGTGCCTGCGGGGGCATCCCCGGCTGGTTGGAGGAGGCGGGAGATTCCGTGCTTTGGTCTGATCCGAGAAGCCCGGCACGATTTGGATCAAGCCGCTCCGGAATTCACGTGCTGCTGTACGAAAGAGGAAAATTCTCTGCTCCGGCTGGTGTCCACTGTCTGGTACCAAAACGAAGCTCGGGTGGGAGTAGGGGGAGCAAAGCACTTTCACGGTGGTGTGTCCTGTCGATGCGACTAGCAACGGGGGGCAATGGCCAAAAGAGCATGCAGCGGCCGAGCTCAATGGAGCTCTTCAAAGCCAACTCTACCGCACGACCCCAAACGACGTTCGGATTGGCCAGATTTTGTCCTTTTGGGGCGTCGATGGGTTCGCCCGTGTCCGGCTTTGTCCGTTGGATCGTGCGTGCGCCCACCGCGAGGCTGCACCCCAAATCATGTTCGGGGTGGACGTGAATAAAAAAAATATAAAAACTAGAATGAAATGACTAAAAGAAGTAAATAAACGCATTAAAAAAACATAAAATATATAGGGGTCACGGCCACAAAACGGCCCAGTTTCTCAGTCCACTTAAACGGCCCAGTTTCATAATTAACATAAAAACAAAATTAAAAGCGCCTCCCGCGCGCTCCTGCCGCGCCCGTCGGTGCCGTGGTCGTCGCCGTCTTCACTGGCCACCGGTGTCGCCGTCGTCGCTGACGAGGTCGACGTTGGCCGGCGGCGTCCACAGGTGGGCCGGCGGTGCGTGGTAGACGGGGCCGGGCTAGACGGCGGGAGGTGCCTGCACCACCTCCTCCCATGGCGATGCCTCCCGCTCCGGTGATCGCGGCGGAGTGGCGCACCAGTTCACGCCCACGCCGGCGGCCATCTCCGGAGCAGTGCAGGACCAGCCCCACCCCTGGCCCAGCAGCTCCTGGAACGCGGCCGGCGGCTCCTCCTCCATCGCCTCCTCCGTGACGGCCGCCATCTGCAGCTCCGGGAAGGTGACGTCGCCGGCGGCGGAGAGTGCCATGGCCTCCTCCAGGCCGTCCCATTGCCGCTCGTCGTGCGTGTTCATGGAATCCTCCATGACACGCTGCACGAGCCGGGCCTCCTCCTCCGCTGTCATGCGAAGAGGTGGAGGTGGTGACGGAGACGGGGAAGGCGACGGTGTGGGTGTGAGGCCGCGCACCCGCGTACGCCCGCGCCCTCCCGACGTGGCCGCCGCGGCCCCGAGACCGTGCCGGGGAAGTAGGACGCGCGGCGCGTGTCGTGCTCGTCCTGGAGCCAGGTGTCCCAGAGCTCGGAGTCGGGGGCATACCTGTGGTCGTAGTACAGGTCGTCGGGGAGGAGGCGGCGGTGGTGTGCGATCTCATCGCGCCGGGCACGGCCGCTCGCAGGCATCGGCGGGATGGGGACCCGGTCCGCGGAGAGGTGTCATCCGTTGGGGAGGTGGACGTCGCTCCACGGGACCGGCGTCCTCGTCTCCCAGCACCTCCGGCACACGTCCGCGCAGAGGTACTGCCGGTCACGCTCGTCGGGAGGCCTAGGGGCAATGGTGAAGGGGGCCGGCGCGGGGGCTCGAGAGGAGCGCGGCGGTGACACGGGCTCCTCCTTCTTCACGGATCCGCGACGGCGGCCCGAGGAGGAGCCGGCCTCGCGGTCGTGCTTCCCCTTGCGGTTCCAGAACCCCATGGCTGCGGCCGGCCGGCGAGGTCGAGGACAGGGAGCGGCTAGGGTTTGGTCGTGTCGGCTTTCGAGGGGGCAGAGAGGGGCCGGAGTGGGGAAGTGGAGATGGGGACGACGACCGGTCTACGGGCCTCACTTAAGAAGGACCGCGACCGTTCGATGGCCGGATGACAGGTGGGGCCACCCGCCCGTGCGCATTTATGTTGGCAGATGGGAGGTAGGTGGCCGCCTGCGACGCGGCCCCGGCGCGGATGAGCGCGCGTCCGTTTACCGTCCGCCGTGACCCAAACCAGGCGCAAGTTTGCGCTCGAAATGGGTCGGCCCGGACACCAAACGAACAAGATGGGTCCAGGCCGTCGCGTGCTGGGCAGCCTGGTTTGTCTGTTTTGCCTCAAACGGACGGAGCCGTACAAGATAGGGTCGCGCGGTGGAGTTGGCCTAATTTTCATTTTCAGCCAAAAACTATTTCTACACCTCAAGAAAATCTGAAGAAAATATATGCAGACATGTATTTGTAGTATGCACGTACAAATTTTCATGAACACAAGTTTTTTTTAGTGCAACATGTGTTCATATGTTTTTTTTTGAGAAACACCTATAATTTTATTCATACTCATAACAATTACAAGTACACTGGTTCGGATCTAAGATCCAAAAAAATACAAAGAAACTCCTATGACTAAGAATTACAATGAAATCTCTTTGAAACACCTTCTTCGTTGCATCAACCTCTGCTAGAAGAAATACTCCAAATACTTGGTAAAAAGGTTGCAATTGGACTGGAGCAATAATGTTGTCACTTTTTCACCCGCACGAACATTACCAATAATGGTTTTTGAAAGCACCATGAGCCACCCATGCAAAAAGATGGAAAGCCTTGATCGGTGAACGTACTTGGGCCGGGGATAATCCCCTAGAAGTGCGAGACGTCGGATCACAATATCTTTACCATGATGTTGATGAAACACTTCAACTTCACAAAGAATCAAACCAACAGAAAAGTTTGACACACCAACCTAAGCTCATCAGATCCGAATAATCGGATCTGCAAGAACAGAAAACTTTCTAACCTCATGACACCGCCAAAAGAACGAGAGCAAATTTATTCTCACAAAATTCGATGATCACTAAACGATGACGAAAATTGTAGCACTCTGAAGATGCAAGGTTCCCCTACCTCTAGGCGCCAAGATGGCAGCCGGAGGCGAGGGGACCCAAAAATTCCTTACATATGTTCATATGTGATGTACACAAAAAAGACAAATACATAGATTAAAATGGGCTTTTGCATTTTTGTCTTTGTGCCAGATATTTGTCTTTTTTTGTGTGCAGCATGTAAATAATCAAATTAGTTGATAAAACTTTATACACACTTGAATAACATGCATTGTATTCGTAGTTTTTTTGACCATTTTTGAAACTTTTAATTTATTTATTTAGAGAACTTTTAAATTATTTATTTGGAAACACGGACTCGGTGCTTTGTAAGGCCTCTCTCAGGGAAATGGTGGGATGAATGAGCCGCACCTGCACGGACAGGCAAGAGTTGAGTCAATACCATGGTGGG